TGGCTAATTAATGTATTGTTTCGTAGGGATGGCCCATCCGCGCGTCCACATATATATATATATATAAAAGCGCGCAGGTGGCGTAGCCGGCGAGGAAGCTGGGAAATCTGCATCCGCTGAATACGCAACTACTTTGGGGCTCCCCGTATGCCAGCGCGAGGGTACGTCTGGGAAAGTGCTTCTCGGGATTTCCCTCCCCATGTATACCAGCCAGTAAAGACACACACGTCGATGTAAAAATTCAAAGGCCCCACTCGTTATCGGTACAGCTGAGTCGGAGGATATTACGGGCAGGGGAAAAAAAAGGAAATCAGTCCACGAACGCTGACACGGAGATGAATTACATCCAGGCGTATATAATTTCATTGTTTCAGTATATAGGATACCAACGCGATAAACCGAGTTATCTATTGGAACGAACAAACGCACACATCAGGTAGGAGCGCGAAAACGGAGGAAACCTCTCGGTGTATAAATACGCGATCGCCGGGGATTATAGACCAAGCTGCGGTCTAGCGTGTAATAAAAGGGGCCATGGCGATAAATACGCGCTTAATTGCGCGACCGCGGAAACATGTGCGCCGCTGCGTTTTATTCCACGGGTGCACGGAGCGCGCCCGCGCGTGCATAAAAGTGTTCGAATTGCCGTGTAATACGCGATTGTGACGTAAACCTGGGAGAGGAAAAAAAATATCATGTAGGCGTACAACAGTGGCAGCCGAAAACGTCGATGTAACGACGACTCGGCTGTATATATATATATATATTTTTTTTTCCAAATCCTCTCGTAACTTCCTGCGTCGTGTATCTCAATTTCAGCTCGTCGGCGACGTAAGAGCGCGCAGGAGTCGTAAAATTGTAGAAATTTTTTTTTTTTTTTTTTTTTCTCCATCATCGAGAGACACGAGCTTCGGTGCGTCGCCTTTTGAACAAATAAACATGACCGAGAAGGAGAAAGGTGTACACTTGCGCGCGTGTGTGTGTGCCTTCTCGAGGAAGAAATAATTACTCGTAAAGGTACATTAGCTATACTTTCTAAAGTACCATACGGACTGACAGCCGCCTTTGCGGGCTATACGACTGATGGCCGCGGCTAAAAATTTTGAGCGCACGACGGCTCATCTCGCCGCATCCGCGTGCACCCTACGTTGGCTTTTATATAAGTTTCGCGGATCAGTCACTAATCGCGAACTTGCCCGATCCCGTTCGGAAGCGACTGTATTTGTTCGATGAGGAAAAATAATAAAAAAGGGGACGATTTAGCCATTTTACTAAACAAGAACAATAAAATGAGGCTCGTTTGCAATCGCTCTGGTAAATAATTCAAGCGGCGATTGGCGCGTTAAATTAGCGATTCCAGCGGCAAAACCCGCCTCTCACGTATCGAGAAGAAGAAAATCACGGGCTCGAAAATTGCACCACAATTGACTTTCCTCGTTTCCGATGTAGCCGTGGCAAGCAGCTTTTTCTCGAAAAATATATAAAAAGGAGCGCGGAGTGTGTAGGTACACGAAACGCCGCACTTTCTTCTAATACATAATTTATCGGGCTCCCAGGGCATTACACACGCAATTAGCGCAATGAAACACGCGCGTGTACCTCGCGATCGGGCCAACAAATAAAAAAAACACGGCTTTTCCCCTCGTTTACAAACAATCGGGAGACGACGCGTCGTGGATGGGAGGCGGATGAACGGAAGAAAAAAAAAAAAAAAAAAAAAAAAAAAAGATACCGTAGAAACGGACACTTGGGCGTGCGCGCGCGCGGATTCCGGAAGTTTGGATCGAGAGCCAAGGCCACACGCGCGAAGGAGAGACAAAAAGAATAAATTGCCACGGGATGTTTTTTTTCCGTATCCAGCAATTGTTCTGCTAGACGCGTGTGTCTTATCGATGAGAAAAACTCGCGGGTGCGCATAGATACACATTGGAATTATTACTGCGAGGATACGAATTTCCAACTCCGTTGCGTCGGACGCTCGATTGTTTTTCACTTGTTGCGACTAAGTATTTTTGTTTATTCGTTGAAAATCAAACACCTCGTCGGAGTAAAAACTAACCGTGATAAACTGATGAGACTCGCAATGGCCCCAATGGCACCGTCGGACCAAACAACGGTCGAAACACTCATATATATATATGGGTATCCAATAATGTAAGCTCAATATATTATGCTCGAAAGGTCGGAAAAATACCTCCGAAAGAACAACCGCGTATACACAAATACACATATGTGGGGCATGGGTAAACGTCCGCGGGACGAGGGGGAGGGGGGGGGGGTACAGAAAAGGCTTTTAGCTCTAATGCGCCACTTGGCTGCGGGCTCCTCTGCGGTTTCGGATGTCAGCGAAAAACTAGCAGCCTGTACACAGCCGCTCCATACATATACGCTTCCACGCGCATCGATCTCTCATCGCACGGTGGTCCCTCCCCTTTGCACGCGCTCTTTTTCACATCCCCCCCCCCTCGTGGCACAATGAACCCTTTCTCGACGCGCTAACTCATACGTGGCTTTTATCCGCACGCAGCTTTTTTGGGTGATGGGCTTTTGGTGTTCGGTATACGCGTGTGCGTGTGCTTTTACTCGTGGTGGCTTGCCGCAATTTTCACGTGTTTGCGCGCACTCTCGATTGCCAACGCCGATGATGACTACCACCCGGGATATATCGCCTATCCGTCTTGTCCTCTTTATTTTTTGGGAGGGTCGGAAACAGGGGGAGGATCTGTATTTACGTGCCTGTACATGTATATGTTTACCCTGCGTGGTGGTGTTGAGGGAGGGGCGGTCGATGAAGTCAACACCACGGAACTGTTGATGGACATTTCGAACGTTCACGCACTGATTGTTTGCCCATTGTTGTATAGAACAAGGATGGATTGGCCAAGGATCGAAGGAATTTTTTTTTTTTCTTCATTTTTTAATGCCGTTGGAGTGGAAATATAATCGCTGATGCGCCTTTTGCTCGAGCCACCGTCGTTATTTCGGATGAATGGGCCGGGAGAAAACTCGATCGCTCGTCTCGTCAGCGCGGACGCCGTGAAATCGCACACTGAATTTCGCTGATTCTAGAACAATCTATATATATGTGTATATGCTATTGCTTGGCATGACCACGGTTTTAGTTTGATATACAACGTATACGGGTAACCATTGGTACGAATGAATTTAAATTGAAATTAAAGTCGAGTAGCCGATGAGGTGGTATATTTATTTGACGATCCGATCGAGCGGCATTGAAAGAAACGGGAAAATTTGCAATGTGGTACTCTAGTTTTCGACCAACAGCTCGCACGTAAGAGCCTTCGGCTCGCGTTTCACCGCGCACTTTTCACTTTCAATTAGAAACTGAACTACTTTTACCGGCGCGACGTTAAATGCCATCTTTATTCTCTCTCTCTCGAGACTTTTAAGGGGACGCCGATCTTTCGAACGATTTTACCGCGTGTCATTTTCGTGCGTCGGATGGTTAAAAATAAACTCGGCCGCTGTATTTTGCCCAAAGATTTTCAGGGGTGTATATACGAAAGGGAGTTTCGCAAAGTAAGTACACACACTGCGAGGGAAAGTGATATTTCAAGAAATGCCCGGGCGAACGCGGTACTCCGTCGTCATAAAACACCTTAAAAGCACATAATGCATGGTAGGTCTAAGCCTCCGACGTATACGTAAGAGTAAGTATCGGCTTACCCTCGCAGTTTTGCGCTGGATGTATCGTTCATCCTCTCTTTTAACGTGAAACTCATACGGCAGTATAGTACAACAAAAGCACTGCCAGCAGCACATTTCTAAAAATATATTATTTCATAACAATGGCCCTTTATTTTTATCTGACGGTAAATTAAACTTTTTGTAAATCGATTGTGCAATGGATTGTTTTTTTTTCCCCCCCAAGGAAAAGAAAGTGGCACTTGAGAGAAATAATGTACGAATGATTATACCTTAATACTCCGAGGTGGAACTTTCAAGATTAAGTACACAGTATTATCGTGCTACCCCCTCCGTTTCGTTAATTATGATACAAAATTATACTCCTGGAAGATTCACAACTGAATGTAAGGTCTTGGAAAGACTTGTCTTTTTTTTTTTTACTTCTTCCGAACTATAGTTGATTCGATTAAACCTGCGCCTCTTTGTGTTTATTACATTTTATTAACGAACGCAAGATAAACATTTTTTTTTAAACACGTGCAATCTCACACCTTCGATGGGATTTTTATTTAGCGTTGTAAATTGTCCTGTGTGGGTTACGGGGGATATGAATGAGTTTTACTGCGTGTTTTTTTTTTTTATTGCTCTTTTTTACTTGTGTGACCAAGTTTCACTTGCGATGGCGTATACATAGTTCTATATTATTTAGGATTTTTATCAAGCCCTTTTTATGATCGAGATGTGGTGAGCGACCAATAAGTGATTTAATATTACGTTAAATAAATAATTACAAACATAGTGAGGTTGGGAAATAACGAGCAGTCTGAGGCCATTGAGTAATAAAAAAATTCGAAGAAATGCAGAACAACACACATAAATTGCAATCAAGTCATACGTGCATTGTACTTTCTCACTCGGTCACTCTTTATCATTATGATTATTGTTATTTTTAAGAAAAAACAGGTTTTGTCCTTGTTATTACACAAACAACTACTGAAATATCGCGCGACTCTGGCAAAAAAAAAAACTATGAAAAACAAAAAGACAGCTCTTAAGTATTTCATTTGGTCCTGTTGTACAGGGGCTTCGTGCGCCATAACCAAATAAATAGCGAATTGAAAAAAAGCAATGTTCACACTCTTGTCGAAATTACATTTTTACGTCACAACTCGTACAACTCAGTGAAAAAAAAGTCGGCAAAGATCAAAGGAAAAGGAAAGAGTGCGTAGGATGAGAAAAAAAAAAAAAAAAAAAAAAAAAAAAAAAAAAAAAAAAAAAAAAAAGGGGGGGAGGAAAAAAAAAAAAAAAAAAAAAAAAAAGAAAAATAAGAATAATAATAAAAAGATACTCACCGTGCAACGACGCGAGTGTTTGCAGCGCCGATGGATTGCAGCTTACGAATCCTGAAACAGAGAAAGGACACAAGTTCAGAATTAGTTTCTTGATGTATTACAGTGTATTATATTATACGGTATTGCGGCAGCACCACAGAACACGTACAGCCCCGGGCAAACTCGGAAAGGACTTTTTTGCACGTACTATCCGTATTTCGATGCAAATGAGGAATATATACAGAAAAAGGGAACGACGTTATATTCATTTCTCCTTTTTTTTATTTTTTTATTCTCTCGGAATCATGAATAAAATAATGACGCAATTTTCTACCACTTTTTCCTTTTCATGCCTTTGTTTTCAAAGCGAACATTTGTTCATCTACAGAAAAAAAAATTCAGAATTTTCCAAAAGACCACAAGCGACCGCACCTCCAAGCCGTACACATTGTGATTTCTTACGAAAAGTCTTGACGTCCTCTCGTCTACTCGTATAATAAAATTCGTCACACACATGGGTGTGACCGCATCGGGAGAAAAGAAAGGATGCAGCTTCTTATTCGGAACATAAGAATATATTATCTAGAATACCCACAAATGTCACCAACTCGTGAGTTGTTGCAAAAGGCCAAAACGCCCAAACACTCGTCTACTAGGTAAAATATCGTGGGACCGGAATAATCGCAAGGCGTGTAAAAAAAAGTCCCCCGTGCGTAAATACACAGGTACGTGCCGTTCTTCGCGAGAAGCGCCATTTCGAGGGCCGACAATCAGGAACTCTCTCGTACATTTAATATGTGCACACACACGTGAGCGCTCGTACAGCCGGTGAAAGGACTCTCTTCTCTCGCGCCTCCGTGATACATAATACGCGTCCTTTCTGCTCTTTTGCAGTACGAGTGTAGGTGTGCTCGCCATGGGCAGAGGAGGCGATAATTTAATTACGCCTTTTCGAAAGTCGCTCTTATACCGTACTCCTTTTTTTTTTTTCTTCGTAGGGAGCCTTTTTTTTAAATTACAGCCTTCGAATAAAGATTATTTACTCTGAGAAAGTAATGTAGGTATACCTACGCGTTGCAAACAAAAAAAAAAAAAAAAAAAAAAAGACAATTTCGAAAGCACGGCTTCGAAAAGTAATCGAGTTGTCGCTAGGATTTAGTACAAACGGACGTTGGATTTCGTCATTTCCGGTGGACGCTCTCGAAAATATACACACTCAGACACGACACGCCTAGTTTTCAATTGTGTAATTTTAAATGCTGACTTTTTTTGGTAATGTTCACACCGAGAAATCTCAATTCAATAAACTACATTCCATGGTCCGCTCGCAAAACTAGAACGCACAAATTGAGATATTGAAAAATCACGCACCTACACAATGCACCTACATCGCGAAATTTGCTCGTACGCGTATCTGGGTCAAGAGGATCCCTCCGTATCGCTCGAACGTTTCAAACACCTATCAGCGCCAATCAAACAATCGCACCACCGGCCAAGAGAGAGAAATCGTCACCTTATATTCCCTTTGCTTTCAAGTAAATACGTACCTATATGCATCTTGGGTACACTACACATGTGAGCTGGAAAGAAGCACGAGCTGCGATAAATTTGAATTTTCGCGCGAAATCAATTTGTCGAGCTAATCGCCGCTAATTAATCAAAGTCCAATTAATCTTAAATCCATCTTCCAGCCGGGATATGCTCCTCGCGCGCTTTCTCGCTGATCCACCGGACGCGCGTCCCATCTATCATCTCGTCGCCGGCCAGCATCGTCTGTAACGTTGCCTACACATGTTTGGTGCGTTTTATCTCGCTTTTTATTACGTTTCATATTTTTTTTTTTAACGCGCTTACGTGCGTCTTGGTCGCGAGGCGTTAAAATTGAAACCGGTCGTTGCCGGTGATTGACGGACATACGGAGTATAGGTATATACGTTTTTGCGCCGTTGCGTCACGGCCATAATCAATGGTATCGTTACGCACCCGTGACCGGAATGGATTTTTATTTTTCTCTCCGGCCTTGAAAGCCCCGGGGATGAAAATCGCGCGGGTTTCTCACCTAAGCAAATTACGGGTGATGAATTACCATCGTGTCTTGATGTGTGCGCGAACAATCGGATGAATAAAACATCTAGCCGTGAGAAATTTTCGTCGGATCGAGCGGCTACGATATGGTACGTGCTTTTGCGAAAGCCGAGCAGTATTTCGGGCGATTTTTCAAATTCAATATATTTTTTCTACACGTTATACAGTTTCTACGGATGGTGATTTCCTATAGTCTCGAGTGAGTGAGTATGCACGGTGAAAGAGACGCGGAGCGGAAACTAATCACGGACACACGGGTACTCGAGAAGAAGGAGGTGTATACGTACACACCACATTCGAGGAAGGAAGAATTAAAATTTCAAAAGAATCGCCCCGCTGAATTATGTCTTACGTCGGCGGGAGGCTATAAAACACCATGTACACACACATACATATGCAGGTGTTACTTCGAGTTTAAGCTCTTCCGTCGAGGCACTCTCTCTCTCTCTCTCTAATGAGATGATTCATCGTTATACCATAGGCGTGTACTTTTAAAAGTATACACATGTACCTCTTGATCCACGCGAGCGTAGAGGAAATAATGTTGACGCTGTTGTGTGCTTTACCTTTGAAAAATACAAAAAACCAGCGTATACATGGTACAGTTTCCGAGAGGCTATTGTATACGACTCGTTTTATTTCAAGCGCCTTACTGTAATAGTGAAAAATATGTATACGAGGCTCTGCAGTGATTCAAAGGCTCCTTCCAGTGTGTCTGTAATATATATACCCTACCTCTCTGTAAAGCCAGTTTTCTTGCGAGGCTATAACTTGCCTTGACGTTAAACACACTAAGTATAGAAGAGGAGCTGAAGGAAGAAAAAAAAAAAAAGGATAAAATTGAATGCGCTTCGCGAGTGAATTACACAGTCGGATTGAGCTGGGCGAGACAAGCGAAACCCGCTCCGGCAACGTCAAGTCTCTTTTTTTTCCCGCGGCTCGATCGACTCCCCGCACACGGTCCGCCTCATTTTTCTCACTCCGAGGTCTTTAACAGCAGCTTTGCCGCTCTATCGGACGGAGTGAAAGCGTGTTTGGAAATCGTCACCTGCTGCCGTTCTATTGCCGCGGCACCTACACACCGGCTTCGCGATTTTTCTGCCCCCGACCTCCTACCGTGTACGGCAAGAGTCGTCGTGAAAACACGCGTCCCACCACATCGATCAGGTCTGGTTTTAGGAGGGTCTGGGTTAATTTTCACCAGAATATATAGAGTTTCGGTTTTACCATGTTTGCAATTTATTTTATACCTCGAAAAGGGTACTTTTGAGATTGGATCGGTACTCGAGGTGGAGAGTGATCAACAAAATTTGCAGTGTAAAAAAATTTTTTACAATAAAAAACCTGCGGACATTAGAGTAGCAAACGTTTTACACGTTTTCTCTGATAACCGATTGACTAGTAGATCAGGCGTTAGAGTTGATGGTGTCACGGGTTGGTAAAGTAATTGCCAACAAATAAAGTATGAAATCGATTCGAAACTTGACCAGGACCAAAAGTATATAATAGTGACTCAAAACGATGAGGAGCAAACAGAGCTGAAGCTTACTTTTTCTTCACTTTTTTTTTCCTTTCATGGAATGATACAGCGTTTATTTTATCGAAGACTTTAAGCACCTGAACATATTATTTTTCCCATGTATCGCGAGAACGAATCAACGAAAACGTGAAAATAAGTATAGTTTTTTCTTTGGTCCGTGCCATCATCGCGTTGTTTTACGCGGGGGTATATTGTTATTTCTACGTATCCGGGAAGAAGAAAAAAACTAATTTCCAAGAAAAGAAAAATTCCATCCCTCGGTATTATCTACGAATTTCCCAACATAATTTCAAAAACTGCTACTCCACGCGAAACATCTCATAACCCAGGCACGAGAAAAAGTGTATATACCCCATCGAACAGGAGCTCCTCCGAGGGACGCAAGTTATATAGATCGCGTAAAACAACCGATGGGCAGTGTAATTCCCGTAGAGGCGCAGCAACAGTAATGCACAACCCTGTGCTCGTGAAAAAAGCAGGCGCGCAGGGCTTTATTTTACAGTACAGGCGATGGGCGAGAGAGAGGCGAGTTCCCACGCGCCCGAGGGAAAAACACACCGGCCTTCTCTCTTTTTCTCCTCCTCCTCCTCCCTCCGGTTGAATAAGCGGGAGAAAAGGTACTAGGCATAGTTGGACGCTCGAATGATAAAAATATCGCGTAAAAAAATCGAACATCGAACGGCGGTGGGGAGGAGGAGGAGGAGGTCGGCTATCTCGAAAGCTCGAGGATCGCGGCGCGGGGCAAGCTTGCCAGGCGCGTAGAAGAACCGATGCGGCCGTACTTACAAATGTTATTGCATTGAAAGATCAGGTACTACTTACTCCAGAGAGCGCGTCTTTCGTTTGTTTTTCAAACTCAAGCGAATTCACGGTCCAAAGGACCGTGGTCGGGGCGAAAATAGCAGGGTGACCTTCGTCAAGCTCGCTCGAACTTTTCCTCCATGTATAAGCTAAAAATAGAATCCGAGCACGAAAAAAGGGGAAAAAAGGAGAGAGGAAAGAAACAAAGGCGGGTCGGATGATGGAAAAAAAAGCACATCCGCTCGTCGCGAATCGGTGGCCAGAGGATTCCTGCTGCTAGGAGTAAGTATACCTGTACGTATAAATATATAATTCATACCGTTTCACGGTAAAGACCATCAGCAATACCTCGGAAGAGCAGTTGGTGTCCGCACATATAATATATTATACACTGTATACATATAGCACGCCACCCGTGGTCATTAGGCATATATACATACCGTACTCGCCGTCACTGCTCTTATCTGCGCCTGCAGTAAGTACTGCACACGGGAAATAGAAAGATCCCAACGACGCGACGACAGATGCGCAGCGCGAGAAAAACAGTCGTATATATAATACCCGTACCAATGATTTCGCAAGAAAAACAGGCATCAGAGCTCGAGAGGGATCATCTCGCGGAAGCGTCGCGCTTGATTTTGTCATG